GAACGAAGGATGGTCGGCTGGTGTGCGCCAGGGCTGGCAAGCAGGATCACGTCACGGATGCCTTTGCCGCGGAGATTTATGCCATGTCACATGCGGTCACCATGGCAGCGGATCTCGGCATCGTTCGGCTCGAACTGGAGACGGATTCCCAACTCTTAGCTGAGGCCTTGGACTTGCAAAGAGTGGATTCTTCTGCCTACGCATCTGTCATTGAGGACACGAAGTACCAGCTCAAGCTTTGGTTTGCTAAGGTTGTAATCACCGTGTGTAGACGCACGACGAATTCTGTAGCTCACGATCTTGCCACAATTGGCCGTAGTTGTGATCCCAACCAGTATATGGAATGGGACTCGAATGTACCTGCCCATGTGGGCGCCTCTGTAATAGGTGATATGCCTAAACTCAGTTAAGTAATAAAGCTTTGCTTTGCTCAAAAAAAAAAAGAAAGAAAAGAGAAAAAAAAGGAAACGTCGCTCTCCCCTTCCTCCCATCGCCTCCAGGTCTCCAGTGCTCCATCCGCCATCGCCTCCAGTGCTCCCGCCGCCATCGCCGGCGCACGGCACTGACCGGAAAACACGCTCTCAGCTAGGCGCCAGCACCGCCGCCGCTTCCAGGTTCGGAGCGCGCTTGACCGGCAGCAGGCCTCCATTGCCCCGGCCAGGTCGCAGGTTAGTAAAAAACCTAAGTCCGTCTACAGTTCGGCGGGCACCACTTCTGCTATGTTGTTGCTATTCTGCTTTAGTTAACACTAGAATGAAGCAAATTGATATTCTTGCCTGCAGACGCTCCTTCAATCAGAACCCTGGGATGTCTAGTTTGGTCAAAACTGACATGTCAAATTTGTGTGAACTCTTGTTGTTGTCGATTACAAGCTAGCTAGTGTAAAATTCTGCTTTCCTGTATGGTTTCCTACTCTAATTTCTTGTACCGCACTGTATGGTGCGCACCGGTTCTACTCTCTCAAATAAGAAAACGGAGCTGCTAAAAATCAGTCGACTGAGACTTCGTGAAGTCTCAGTCGACGCCTCAACCTTTGGATCGTTGTTGCTTTAAGATTCACGCAGCGCCGTGTCTTTGTCTCAGTTCGGCCCATTAAAGCGTGAGTCTGGCCTGTTTTCCTGTCTGTTTCGTTGTTTGGTCTGGGTTCCTTGTCGTGGTGGTGCGAAGATGACAGGGTTTGCCCGTGGACTGGGCTGGTATTTAGCCCTTTTTTGTTGTTTGCTTTTTATTCTTTTTCTTTCTTTTGTAAACTTTTACAATTGGAGAGAGAGAAGGGGAAGCTGTCACCATTACTGTATGTGACTTAGGGAGGGGAAGAGGTCCTGCCACATACACTCCTCTCTCAGTACTCTCTTTGTAGGATGGGTGTTTCTCCTTGTGTGCAAGTGGCCATCCTTTTTTACTTGAAAAAAAGTCTGCTTTTTTGTTGTTGCCTAATCAATGTGTTTATTCCACTTCTATTTTTATTTTTTTTCTTCATAATTTTATGTACCTTCTAACATATCATTTATCATTTGCTTCTTTATTATTGTTTTTGCTTTTAACTTTTTTATTTGTCCAGTTGCACTATCTTTTTCAATGTGCAACGTGAGTTAAGCAAATTTCCAGTAAGACATTTTTTATTTTTTTTCATATTATGTGATGTGTTTTTTTAGTATTTTAGCGTACCATTTGCACATTTCTAGTGACACGATTGCTGCAATTATTTTCTTCGTTGTTTTTTTTTGTCGTTGTTTTTGGGCCGTTTTTAGGTCAGCAATTATTTTCACCAGTTTTCTACTTAATCATTAGCTATTGTATTAAATATGTATGTGTGGTGTGTATTATTCAGCATGTATGTATGGAGGAGTTCAAAAACACTGGGTAACTCAGCAACCTTTTTCCATTTTTCATTTTTTTGGGCCTTGTGTTTCTTATTAGTTTTTGTCACGATACCACCCTCTTTTTATTAACTTTTGTTTGGTGTGTGTTAAAAAAAGTTGGTTGTGCCATGCAATGAAAGGGGTTATTTACATGACGGGAGAGGGAGGGGGAGGTAGTTGTATGTTCGATACTAGGCTTTTGCAACTGCAAGTGTCTCCCTAGATGGCAATTGCTTGCCTCCCTCCCGACTGCAACTGGCTTGGTTTTTTGTCGGAGGGCGAAGGAAGAGGGGAGGGCAGTTACATGTCCGACACTAGGCTTGCAATTGCAAGTGTCACACTGTAATTGCATGCCTACACACCCTACTGCAGTCGACCTTTTTTGGTGGGCAACATGAGGGGATAGTTGCATGTCCAACACTAGGGTTGCAATTGCAAGTGTTGTCCTCGGCTGCACTTGCATGCCTACACACGCAACTACAACCGAAACTTTTTTTGGTCGGTGGGCGGCGAGAAAGGAGGGCGGGCAGTTGCATGCCCAACACTAGGCTTGCAATTGCAAGTGTTGTCCTCGGCTGCAATTGCATGCCTACACACTCGGTTGCAACTAATC